ACTTTGATTCAGCAGTTGACTGCTTGACACCAGTTGTGGGGACCATTGACCTTGTTGCAGGAACCAGAGCACCACCAGCACCAGACCCGTCACCGCTTGGTCTCTCCATAGCTTTAGAGACTACGGCTGATAACCTGTATTTTCAGGTTTCAGCAAAGGCTATGCCTATAAACCCAAATGGACTGATAAACTATTGAACCGTTAAGCTAGCGGCCGCAAGCTTCCTTTTACTCGAGCCGCAATGCTAGTAAGCAATACTATACTACATGTGCCTTTTGGGGTGAAGTGCAATTACAAAAACAACACTTAAGACGTCAGTTTTGATATTCAATCTATGAAACATTCAAGAAGTGAAAACGCTTGAGATGTGACTGGGTCCAAAACTGGTGTAAACCCCCAGTTTATTGTCGCTTTGACACGGTTTGACCCAGAAAACATGATGACAATACATAAATTCAACTTTTGGGTGGGTTTTTTCCAACTTGTGTTGAGAAAACCAGCCTCGTAGATCTTTCGTTGACTGTCCCACTTGAGCATCTCTTCCTTCATTTGCGACACTGCTCCCACCTGCACTGGTGAAACACAGCTGTCATTTTGAGCAAACTGGCACAAATAATTATGGCAACTCAATATGTTTCACAGCACTATGTGTTTCCCAGATATCACAAAAAAAATGCTGCTGCCTGGCCTAACGATGTCAGTGCACACGTTGCCGAAAAGGCGAACACATGAATCCGTATATGTACAACGTTCACAGTGTTTTTTTTGCTGGTTGCATTTTTCAGAGGTTTTTGATTACATGGAAAACTATTTACTAAGCCCTTTGAAATACCCCTGTGAGCGGTGATCAAAACGGGTCTGGTGATCATTGACTATGCTCACATGGTTCTTTCGCAAGTGCTTTTGCGGTGCTTTCGCGACCACAGCTATGTAACAGACTTGCGGTCGCGGAGCTTTCGCTGTATCTCGCTACTTGAATCGGCCAATCATCCACTTTTGCGAAGCTTTTGCCCAGCTCTCACTAGCTTTTGCCGGGCGGGCACTGCCCAGTTTAAGCCCAAGTGAAGCCTTCTACAAAAGGGTTTTGAAGGTTTTTCTGTTTATTGATATGAAGCGGTCTGGGAGATTGTTATGGTCCATAATAGGAATACCTATTCATCAACCAGGACTATGGGATGGGATATGGGGGGGCTATATATTCCCATTTTTGGATGCTAAAACCTACGATGGTATGGTGAAAATTGTCGCCATTGATGTCCATAGCATTCGCATATATATTCCCAATTATAGCATTCCCATAGATATGGTATAATGCCATTATATTCCCATTATAGATTTTATATTCCCATTATACTACCATTTTCAAAGGTACAGTAAAATCCTCATCAACTGAGACCCGGCCATCGAAACGCTGGCACGCTGGCACCTGCTCTTGAAAGCGAAGTTGACCGAGGTGCAACGAGTCCCTGGCAAAGCAAAGACGACGTCAAAATTTCCCATCTAGCAATGGAATCAATCATGATGAATGATGAATCTATATCTTTATTTACCTATCTATAGTACTGTATATCCATACATCTATCTATCTATCAATCTATCCATCTATTCATCTCTCTTTCCATCTTTCCATCTACCCATCTATCCAACTATCCATTTATACATATTTCTATCCATCCATCTATCTATCCATCCATCCATCCGTCCATCCGTCTATTCATCTATCGATCCATCTTTCCATCTATCCAACTATCTATGCATCTATTCAACTATCCATCTAGTGTAATCATCCATCTATGTTTCGACACTGTTTAAGAAAAGCTCGGACTATGTTTTCTGTGTTCACCTTGACCTACTTTTTCAAACCTTGGATCGCATTGTTTTTAACCCTGGACTACTTGTTCTTCCTAGGCCTATCGTTTTTCCTAACCTTGCACCATGTTTCAAATCTTGTCCAATTAGCAAGGTTAGAAAAGGATAAAGCAGGGGGTGTGCCAAGGTTGATAAAAAGGATTGCGGAGGAAATACCCTCTGGTAAACGGTCCCAAAAAACTATGGAAAATCACCATTTTTAATGGGTAAATCAACTATTTCAATGGCCATTGTCAATAGCTTTTTGTCTATTTACCAGGCCGGGTATGTTGAAAGGTCAACTGCAGGATGTAGACATGTGGAGGGTAGAGTTTGCAGGAAATGGAATCAATCATGATGAATCTATCTATTTATTCACCTACCAGTATCCATTCATCTATTCATCCATCTATTCATGTATTCATCTTCATCTATCTATGCGTCTATGCAACTATCTATCCATCATTATCCATCTATGCAACTATCCAACTGTACATATATATATATGTATATTATATATATGTATATATATATATGTGTATATATATATGAGTAGCGGACAAATTTATATGTCAAATTTAATGCCATGCACAAATTAGGATCGTCCCCTATCGGTTATGAGGGTTTTGTGCAACCTCAGACAGGCCAAGGGGAAGCAAGACTAAATTAGTACTACAATAATTTTGTCGTTTACATATATATATACATATATGTATCAATGTATCTATGCATCTATCCATTCATCTATCCAACTATCTGTCTACTGTAACTACCGATCTATCTGTTATGTATAGATATTATATGATATGATGACAATCAATAAATGATGACACAACGAAAGACATATGGATAAGTGATGATAACTGGGCAAGTTGGTGCCTCAAGTTGGCCACCAAAAAATGGGAGAGATGGGAGAGGGAGACATCCATCCGGAAGCTAAGGATCTGGGCTTGTGAATAAGGCGCCCCAACAAGTCTGGTTGATCATCCCCATGAAGATTGCAGTTTTGGGGCTATCCATCATTTTTGAAGACAAGCCCATATGACAGGGACACACTCACTGGCCATCTCAGGAACCTAAATTGGACGTACCTACCATATATAAGGCCTATGTAAGGGCTATGTAAGGGGATATTCCTCCAAAATATGGCCTGAGATATGGTACTAACATACCTCCATTTTAGGATCCTGAAATTCCCATTGACACACCTGAAAAAAATTGAATGGAACATGAAATGACCAATAAACCAAAGAACATCACACCTCCAAGGTCACCAGCAGATGGAGGATGCTGGTAAGCGGCATATCAAATAAGAAACGAGCCAAGGGGATAATGCAGATATAAGCCCCATCACACGAAAATAGCAATATATCATATTATATATATATAATACTGTATAATATATATATATATATTATTATTATTATTTGATTATTATTGATTATTATTGATTATTATTATTATCATTATTATTATCATTATTATTATCATTATTATTATCATTATTATTATCATTATTATTATTGTTATTATTATTATATACACATGCACATATCGAGATATTCAACAATAACACCCTATAACCCTAGTAGAATTATCTGTCAGTTTGCGGTACTCAGTTTAGTTGGAAATATACATACATGACGGATCATGCTTTGCCATACCATTGTTTAGGATTCTTGATGATCCTTGTGTATCTGTTCTTTCAAATATCATTTTCGGATGAAACAAAAACAATGGCATTTCCAGTTGTTGAGTCTAGATCGGGTCGATTCAAATTGAATCAATGACCCAGTCTGTAGTATCTGTAGTGTACATCATCTGCAATAGGTTACATCATGTTACATCTACCTTGGAACAAAGGACAAATGGAAATCAAAAAAAAATCTAGAACTGTAGATCAACTAAGTTCTGATGGTCAGAGCTGATTCAGAACTTAGTTGATCAACTTGAAGGATTTCTACTTCAGTGGCTGATGGTAAGTTGTTCCAAGAAATTCGTCGGATCATCCTGGTGATGGAGAATCCGTTTCAGCTGGGCACATACTGATTGCTTCATATGTCGTGGCTGGGTTCATAATCTCCATTAAATCAGGTAGTATAATCCATTATAATAAATGAATTATGAATGAATCATTAGTATAATGGATTATAATGATCCATTTAATAATAGGGAATTATAGTATAATCCATATAATAATCCCATATTTTTCACGACTCAATCATTTTCGCACATGATCTTTGTCCCCGGCTCCGACACACGGAACGCCGGCGCCGCCAATTCTGGCGCCCAATGCCCGCAGGTGTTAAAGGCATTTCTGCTCGCTGGGGGTACCTTCCAAAGAGAAAAAAACATGTATTATCAGTATAATCCAAGATTTTTAAAAAGGTATTATTCTTGGATTCACATCAGATCGGGGCATATTCCATTATTCAAATTCAAATTATTCTGGATTTGGACTGAAAATTAGGCTGTCCCATGGTTTCCTCTGATTCACCAAAATTGTCCAAAGCTTCAAATCTTGTTTTTGGGGGGTATAGATGGGTATAGCCTATTTTGTAGGAGAATTGACCAACCTGAACAGTTGGGCGTGGATGATTCCCACAAGCATCCAGCTAGTCAGCTAGTGGTGTTGGTTTCACCCCATTCCAACATCTAATTGATGATTGGTGGACTATTTATCTATTTGTTTATCATCAAATGGATTCATCAAATGGATTATGATGAAATCCATTATATATCTATATTAATATCTATTAATTATGTATGGATTGACGATTATAACATATAATGGATTCATATCTTATTGGAGATGGAATATTGAAAAAGAAACAACTCTGAAACCACACCTCGGTTCCAACTGGTGACGAAACATATTGCAATGTTTGGCCATTACGCCCATTACACCCGTTTCTGATGCCTAAATCAGGAAAAATGGAAAAAAACTCCGTTGATTCACATCTAAGCACTGATCTCTCGGGATCTTTAGGTTCCATTGGGCTCCTTGGCTCCATATTTTACATCATTTTACGGATTACCTATGATAGACTATGATCAATTACACTAATTCACCTGAAAAGTCGTGCCAAAAATTGGGATTCTTCCCCCCCACAAAAAAGGTACCCCCAAACACCGGCCAAACATCACCGATCTCAGCTGATCTCAGCTGATCTCAGCTGTCCACGTAGGCGATCACAGCAGTAACGGCTCCACCATGACCTCGAATGGGAAGGAAATCGCATGGCAGAATCAAAGACCTTCTCTGGTTGGTGGTTTTAACATGTTTTAACATGTTTTAACCGTCTTGAATATCTATGAAAGTCAATGGGAAGGATGACAAGCCATATATGAAATGGAAAATAAAAAATGTTTGAAACCACCAAGCAGTTCTGATATATTATGTTCAATTAATTGGTTGATATAATCATCAGATGGTTGGCTTAACATCAAAAAACCAACAATCTGATATATCAACCAGGTTGGTCAGTCATCCATCCCATCATGGGAATATGAAATGGAATAGTCAGTATTTTTCAAATCCCCACTGATGGATTAATGACCATCCTGCAATATTGGGGCATATAATATTCCAACTTCTGACCATGGCTCATATGTCATATTTCTTCGTTTAAAAAAAAAGCTACGCTTAGCTACACCCTGGATCCCGAAATGGTGAACCCCCAGCTATAGCTGGGATTCATGGATGTACATGAATACTATGATACCCCACAAATATGGTATAATAGGTTCTGACCCATCACCATATCTGTCCATGAATTCCTCAATATATCTAACTTCTCTGACAGGTTGATGTTCCCTTGCCGAATTTTGTTATTTCCGAACTTCCAAAGCCGTTTGTGCCGGTACTGTGAATATTGCTTTGGGGCATATTGCGAGTGGTATGGCACCTCAAAGTAAACCGATGGTTCCACACTTTGACACTGAGGATGGCCCATTTTCGGTGGAAATGAAGCTTCCAATCTCCTGCCATTGGGTCTACCCTCTGGTAAACGTTTACACAAAACTATGGAAAGATCCACCATTTTTGTTTCGAAAATTCACTATTTCTACGGTGATTTTCCATAGTTATGTTAGTTTACCAGGGTCTATGTTCTTGGAGGAAATTCTATTTCACCCCAACTGGTAGATGGTCCCCTATTGAATTCCCAGTTTTGGCAGGGTCGCGGCATGAGAACAAACGGCTTAGATTTCACCGTTCTAGAAGTGACTTATCCCAACTTATGGAGGTTAGTGCCATAGTTACCCTCTGGTAAACGTTTACATAACTATGGAAAGATCCACCATGCTATCAATGGGTAAATCCACTATTTCGACTGGGCCATCTATTCCATAGCTATGTAACAAATTACAAGAGGGTAAACCCATTAAACATATTTGAAAAAACATAAACCTCCCAACGTAAGAAGATCTCCTCGGAAACGGGTGCTACTACGGTGCCTACGTTGTTGCTCGGAAACGATCATCTCCGAGGGATATACCAAAAAGTGTTGTCCAAAAAGTGAGGTGGTCATGTTCTGGAGGGAATTCAACATGTAATTTGGGGTGATATTATGTGTATATATATATACATTATATATAATATATATACTTATATATATATACATACATATATATATCATCGCACTAATCAAACATAATCAAACCACGATATCTCCCGAGTATGGTTGAGCGTGTGCGCAGAAGATGAATCACTGACTTGGTCAGATTGTATATATATATAATCCCCCACGTTGCGAGAATCACTCCAGCTAGTATATTGTTGGTTACATATTCCACTACTATACCCCATTAAATCCCCTTTGAATTTCTATTAAAAAAACAAATGATATCTATAGCACCCCAAAAACTTAGACATGTCAAATCCAACTTAAACAGTGGTAAATTCAGTATGTTCTATCTTGTAGGGGTTACTATAAATCTATGCAAATATCCTTAAATCCCTGTTTTTGAAATATTAATCAACCCCATTAAATCCATATGATCTCAAATTATATCAATCATATCCCTATAAAATATCATACTAATTTATTGACAATTGTGAAAAATCCTACCTTTTCCCTTTCTGAAAACACATCAAGATGAAACGAAACTCGCGGTTTGGATCAGGCCGGCGCCACCTTCCAGGGTCTTCTGGATCAGGCCGCTCCGCAAGTCCATCTGGTGGAGATCTCAGCACCAGGATTTCGCCAGGATTTCACCACTGGTTGGTGGTGCAATAACCATCTTGAAAAATATGAAAGTCAGTTGGGAAGGACTATCCCATATATTATGGAAAATAAAAGCCATGTTCCAAACCACCAACCAGAAGATGTTGGATTTCATGATCGAAGCGACGAACCGTCGGCATCGATTGATGTCACCAAAAAATGTGAAGTTAATTGAAGTTAACATCTGGTTATGACATTCACAGTTTGCCATGGTTATTACGATGGCCCTAATCGAAATAGATGTTTTACCGAACTTAAAAATGGGTCGATTTTCCATGGCTATGTTAAAAAACCAGAGGGTAGATCGACTGGTCATTTTCAGGATCCTACACCAATGAACTGAGTAAGGCATCCAAGAAATGCCAAGAAGTTGGTGTCCGGTGATGGTTCACAGACTTGGTATGCTTGGCATCTTCTGCATCTTCAAGATGCTGCTGTTTTTCAAGGACAAACCTCTCTGACTGGTTGATGTAGCAACCGTTGAAGCCACTACAAGGTGGTGCTCAAGAGTTAGCAAACTTGGTTTGATGACTTGGAGTGCTACTATAGGAACTATATAGGGTCTATGCTATATATATATATCCCTAGATGGGGCTCACAGCCCCCAACTTGTAACTGGGATGCACCACATTGTAACTGTAATGCAACACGCTATCCACTCTGCAACATCATCCACGAGAGTTTGATGAATTTGTTCTGCTCCACAGAACAGGGTGGTACCGTGATTACGACCCACCAAGGATGTAAGGAAACCAATACAAGCCAATGGGGTTAAGGAAGTGAATTGGGTCTTTTGGAGCGACGCCCCCTCTGCCAGTGGAGAAAGAACTATAATAAGCAAGAGAAACAGTGTTAGATGAGAAAGCAACACATGGGTATACAATATACAACTGGCTGGAGGTTTCAATAAATCCCCCAAATATTAATCAAATATCTCGATAGACACTTGACAAGTGGCACCCATTGCTTGAGCCACACCACACCTCGGAATAATGGCAGCAGTTGGCAAAAGAGATAGAGACAGTGCCTACTTGTTTGATTGTCTTGGTCACTTTCTAAATATGTGGGTACAATAAAGAGGTCGTAAAGATCCTTTGTAGTGGCTGCAAGTTTCAAGGTTTAACTCGTGCTCGACAGGTCTGTGGTAGTTGATGATAAGGGTGTGCAAGACGCAAATGCTTTCTCTCAATCTCCAACACAATTATTCAACAACTTAGTGTGAATTAGTTGCTCCTAAGTTTCATTCAATTTCATATGATTTCATATGTTTCATGGTTCCCATGTTCTTCTCTTTTCTTCGTGGTTTTGCCGCTTTACACGCAGTCCAAACTGAACAACACATCCGACGGGTCACCGGATGTTCCCCTCTGTCCATTTCACCAACACGGATATTTATAGAGATATGATTGGGATATCAATGGATTGATATATGTATATATATAATTATATATATATATGTAGCCCCAGATCATGGTACCCAATGATAATCCCATAATAACCCAGCATATCACTATAAACCGGTACTATACTCTGATTTTTCCTTGTTTATTTATACTAATTGGTGGTTGACCTACCTCCCTGAAAAACATGAGTTCGTCAGTTGGGATGATTCTTCCCAACTATTGGGGAAAACAAAAGCCATGTTCCAAACCACCAACCAGTATTTATATATATATACCAATGGGATACGGGATACCCTCCAAAAGATATGTTTCATCATCATTTGCCGCATTCAAATAACCATTTGGTGGGGGACACCCCATTTTCAAACAGACCCACATAATCAGATATATTGTCCCCGACCCTTTTGTCTTGCCCCAGGGACCCATACTTCCCATGTTTGCCGGATTTTCTTCTCGTTGATACCCCACTAGGTATTGAATGGATCTGAGTGGGTATATGCTTGTGCCCAAAAGTGATGGACACAACCCAAAACGGCAATCAACATATAAAAGACGTGGAATAATACCACTATATATAATATTATATACAATATATTATATGTATATATTACATATATATATGTATAGACTACATATATATATATATATATTCTACTTCAAATCCATTGGATGTTCATGGAAAATCTCAGGGGCATCGTTATCCACAGAAACCACGGTCTCAACTCGACACGACTCGCGACCACAGAATTGGCAAAGTCCACGGCCAGTGATCTCACACGACCGAACTTGCCTGGCATCGTGGTTTGTAACTGGGCAGAAAAGCCATGGAAGACCCAAGGGTTTTCCCTATGGGTCAACTGGTTTATTCATTCTTACCCTCTGGATCCCTCTGGTAAACTGTCCCATAACTATGGAAAATCATCATTTTCAATGGGTAAATCCACTATAAATGGGCCACTTTCAATAGCTATGTAACAAATTCCAGAGGGTAACCCATGGGTCAGATGGAAAATGCGGAGTTCACCAATGGATCAATCTGGTGGCCATGGGGGCAGCACGACCCATGTGAAAAGGTCGTAGGCAAAAAAAATGTGGCAACCAGCTACGAGGAGGATGCTGATGATGATGATATTAATTATATTTATCAAATTTTATCATTATCACTATCCATTATATTGTAATCGTTAATTATTATTGATGAGAATAAAATGTTAATGGTAACGCAGTCGTGTTGTTGCCGCTCCTAGTTGGCCACTCTCCCGAAAACATTGAGTCTTTCAGTGAACTTGGTTGCAAGTGGATGCTTCGAAATTCCACCAACCTCAACTCTGCTGAACACATTTTGGTAAACATATATTTTGATGACACGCATAGTGTTGAATTTCTATGGTGCACTTCACTAGTTCTTGAATGGGTGCATCTAATTTCCGGAGAAAGTTGCGGCACAACTCGCGAGGCCGAAAGACACTCGTGGGTGTGCGTTGGCATTCCAGTTTTCAGATTCCTCAGAGACAACGAGACGCTGGGAACAAAAACTAAGACAGACAGAGGGAGAAATATGCGCCGCCTTTACTCTCTGGCTTTTTGTTGGTGTTTTCTTTTGCTGCTCAAGTACCCTTTCTTGCTGGTGAAAATGCATGGGCATATCTCATGAGTGATGGAACAATCTTTGCATATGCAGCATCTTATCGCAGCTGGGTTTGTCTGAAAATAGGGTGCCCCCAGGTTTCAATGGTTATGTATTGTGTTTCCATCATATGTTAATGAACATATTTTGGAGGCAACATTCCACCATGTTCAGACAAACGCACGTTGACACACCAAAGAAACCTATTGGGTTATTTATAATTAATAATTATAAATTATGTACATATATATATATTTGTTTCCCACTGTCATCCCCATGATTCCCCTATTACATCCCTGCTATATCCCATGAAAATCCCCAGAAATCTCCTATCACTGCCAGCGCTTAAAAATCACGGTCACGGCTCCATACGATGAGACTGGCATCCCATCCCCCAGTCACCGCAATGCTCCTCCCCCAGTCCACGGCTAAATCCTGAGCCATGCCGAAATAGAACTGCAGGGACTCCATCGGTTTAATCCAAGAAATTTCTGAAAATTTCTGCCTATAAAAAAAAGCCCCAAAACGATAGAAAATTGTTAAATCCTATATACTAAAATGTTGATAAATCACAGTTCTATCTTTGTGGGGCTAAAGTAGATAGGATATTATTAATGGGATATCAAATGATATCAATTTGGAATAATTTTGGGAGTTTCAAGCATACTTTGACTTTAGTGAGGATTCGTTGAAACGTCATAAAATGTCCATATTCTACTGCAGAATGACTATATAACTGCATATAACATGTATCTATGATATATATACACACAGATTTGGAGGCTTATGGTGGTTATATAGACAATATACAAAGCTAGGCAATTTGTTGCTCAGTTCACATCGTTGTCAATGTCAATGTGAATGTGTACATATATATATATATATATATGCAGGGTCAAACAAAACTATGTGTACATAAAGTATGTATATACTAGTCCGTTAAACCTCTACATACATGTAACTATTGTGGATATATAAGTAAATAATTATTTATATATATATATGTAGAATTAATAATAATGACTTGATATTGAATTAGTTATATAATTGTGAAATGTTGTATAACACCACTCCCAATGAAACCAAAGGCCTTAAAATAGTCCCATTGAGCCAATCTGAACAACAGGCTGGCTGTGCCTGCCGACCATGGCCCCACATGTCTGAAAATAGGGTACCCTATTTTAACCCCAATTCCAATGCATTTTTAAGCCTCATGTTTGCCCATGTTTTTTTTCCCATTTTCAATGTCCATTTTTTTTTTCGGGTGTTCTGCTGCCCGGCATCTGGCACAACATCCTGATGACCTCAGCACATCAGAGCTGCATCAACTTCTTGATTCTTGGCCCTTCAACAGTTGGTTTACTCAGCAGAGGCTTCCAAAAAACCAGGATTACGATGAACTACATATGGGAGTTTCCAAAGTCATGGGGGTAGCCCCAGTCATCATCCATTTCAGATTGGGATTTTCCACGACAAAAACCATCCAGCTATGGGGATATCCACCATGTTATATCCACCATTTTAATGGGATTTTCCACACCAAAAACCATCCAGCGTTTTTGGGGTAGCCCCATGACTATGGAAACCCCCAGCAGTTGCTGCGTTTTTTCCCAGAAACCGAGGCACCGTGGAACTTCACAGCAGCGACCTTTTCGGCCTTCGGCTTATCGCCATCGTTGGCCCTTCGGGAGAAACTGTCCTCAGCCGGAGATTTCCGAGGAAAAGCAGCAGCCTGGGACACATTTTGAACTCACCACATTGAGCAACCAATTACTTGCAGAACCCCCAAGAAGATTGAACAGTAAAGAAAATCATTGTGCTATTGTAATCTGTCTTTTGGGGCTTAATTATTCTATTCGAGACTTCAATTACTACAATTACTCTTTGGGTAAAAGGTGCAATATGTGACAAAACTCAAGCAAGACTGACAAAATCGTCAGATTTCGTAAAGTAAATGTTTTGGGTGTGCCGTAAAATTGCCAACGCGTTGTTTTGATTGTCGGTCACTCATATATTCTCAGCAACAAGCCAAAACAATGATACAACAATGAACATTGGAATAAAGGTCTACGTGTTTGAAATGGACAAGAAACATGTAAGCACAAGATCAAGACCAACAATTTGTGGACATATTGCAGAAGCAAGTTGAAAAACAAGTCGGTGCTTAAAACATGCTCGCGTGAATCCAATGAAAATTGGATATGTACCATCCCAGAAGTGTCTTCTAACTGACCAAAAATATACCCCAAATGTTAGCATATATAGCATACATGGATCCTATGTTTTTTTTTGGGTGTGTTTTTGTAAATTCCACTTTGAACTGAGAAAGTTGTGCCGCACAGTCCAGCTTTCATCCAAGTTCAAAAAGCACATCTCAGCCGTGTCCAGTGGTGCACGTTTTTGTGTGGGATATACCGACCTGGTGTTCAGTTTCAACCAATCTCCAAAAAAATATAAACACATCTCTCTGGGAATTCGCCTGCTCACATGGACACCTGATTTTCTAGACAAAAATGGCAGTCCACCTTGAACTACTGAATGCATCTAAAGAATCACTACCTAGGATGCCTGGGGGGTCTGACACCCTCTAAAATGATGACCCAGGCAACCAACTATACAAAAATTCAAAAAAGAAAATACATAAGCAATTCTCTAGAGAATCAAGGGTCGGTATTGGCTACGTGGATGCCACAAAACATTTGAAACTGGTTGTCAATGTTGTAGTTTGTATGCCTCATCTGTGATACAAGCGACGGCCAGCGCACAACAGCAGTTTTTGCAAATTTCAAGAATTCCACAGGCATGTCAATTGGCCCTCAAAAGACCCTCTCAAGGATGCTCCTACCAAAAAACGTTTAGGCCAGATTAGCCATGTGGGAAAAAAACGGTGTTCTACCAAAAAAAAGACACGTTTTGTGGGACAAACCGGATTATCTGATTCTTTTGCTGAAATTGCATTCCAATTATTGGTCGCATACCACAGTTTTACAAACAAACTCCCGTGTTTGTTTGGTCAAATCCTCATAATCTTCCAACTCCATGATTAACCACTTGCCAGTTCAGGATGTTAAAATGTGGTTCCCATGGACTCAGTTTCGGAGCTTAAACCGACTTAGACCATCCAAATTTTGACTGCCGGCCCACCTCTGACTTAGGGACGACTACACGTGGCAATGCCGCAGCCAAGACTCAGCAGCGCAATTCCAGAGCTGTAAGTTGGAGGTACTACCACAGCCGCCGAGAATTTTGCTCCCCGACCAGTCCACCTCTGAGCCAGGCTGGACAGGGAATGGATTGAATCAGTTCGCCACAGAGAAAGAAAACAGAAATTTTGGATCTATACTTATACTATCTGATACTGTGTATAATAATGTGTGTATATATATATGATATAAGTAATCACATAGCTTCATAAGATGAGATAAAATGAAACAAATGAGATGGGATGAGATGCGATAAGATACGATAAGATAGAATGTTCCTTAGATAAGCAGGTAGACCAATAGACAAATTAGATCCACAAAATAGATAGAACAAATATAATACTTAGAATAGATAGAATAGACTAGACTAGACTTAGACTAGACTAGAATAAAATAAATAGATTGGTAGATCGACAGAATAGATGGATGGATGTATAGATAGATAAATGTCCTATGTGTTGCGGTAGAGTCAATACTAAGCCTCCACGTATGGATGGTTCAAGTTTGTGCCCCCAATTTCGTTTGTTGCACCAACTTCGCCTATCTGTTGGGGACCATTGTATCTCTATTGTACTACCACCATCCACCACCTTTGTTGGTGAAATCCCATTTTTTGATACTTCAATCCCTCTTATACCACATGTGTTTGTTGCTCATACCACCAAAAACCCACCCTTTTCTGGCAAAATGTCGCGTCAAGGCCCTTCTCTTTACCAAGTGACAGACATGCACATCAGGCCGCCAGCATGCCCAGGGGTGGTGAACAAACACGTCCATTCGTTCCTCATGGGGAGATGAATGAGTTAATGGGGAAGAAGTACTATGTACCTGTAATACTTGGAGTACTATAGTAATAATACTCCATTAATGTTGATAGATGTTAATAGTATTTGTCCATTTACTACGGAATATTCCATATGTAATACATTAGTGGTATTTGTTTTTTTTGGAGTCATATGGATAATGGCAAAACACCAAAATATTGCGGTCATGAGTCATATGGGTTAATAATGAGGATATAAAATACATGTAATTATACTTGGCTGCGTCTGGAAAAGGGATAGCCCACCGTTAAAATATCGGGAATATGATCATAAACCACTGGAATTTGAAGTACCCTAGTTTCAAACAACCCCATTTGGGCTTTGAAGTACCCTTTGGTATCCACCGTTTTCGTCCACGCATATTGATATTGAATGAAAATGCACAATCTTATTGGCTTGTGGTGTATGATCAACGACAAAAAGGGGTCTCCCAGGACGATCGTGACTCTTCTCATGAAACGACCCAAATCTGTGCACTGCATCCTGACAATAACAGAACATGGGTCATTAAATGTCCCCATTGAACATCACCCAACCATTGGGTATATGGTCTATAAATGTCTATAATGGCTACTATAAGGTGATGTCCAATATTCCCAAAATGGGACAGTTACTATGGAACTGGACGAACAAACATGAACACACCACCACTTGACGCATGCCGACAGCAGGCGAAACACACTGGAGCTGGAGCAGTACTGTGCCACACCCGGGCATGACTATACCCCACTACTATATGCAGTACCATCCGGTCATCAAAGCATCGCCATTTCATGTCGATGATTTTTCCCAGCTAAAAACTTCCATCTATCAGGGATGTTCCATCTAGTCATGTTTAATTTCCTATGTTTATTCCAATTATATATCCTAATTATATTCCTATAAATCATTATAATACATCATTATACATCCATATAATATGGGATTTGTCTTCCTATAAATATCTGTAAATCATTATAAATCCATGTCTTCCATAGTCCATAGCCTTTGTCCATTTTCACAAACCATTTTGCCAGCAGTCCAGCCCCAACGACGCCCGCAACAAACCAAGGATCGCATCCCAAATCTTCACCGCTTCCTTGCCAAGGAGAACGTCCAAAGACGTTGGATGGCCATTCACGACTTTAGTCAGGATGGCCATGAATTTGTTACGATAAACACAAGATTCTTGGATGATTCTTGGTATCCCCTGTTTAAGTTGCTAAATCAGTTTGAATTGCCATGTTTGATTGTGTTTGTGGCTCAAATTTGCCTGACAAAAGAGAGTGGTCTGAGAATAGAGTACCCCGAAAATTGATGCTTTTGAACCTCGATTTCACCATAACAAAATCACATTTTGGAGGATGGACAAACCCAAACTGAAGACAGTTCGCTAATTATATCATATTAACATAATTAAAAAAAGAAAGGACATCCCAAACATATCCCAATTATAGTTGGTTTACAATGTTTACAGCCCTGCTTTGGATAGTTGAACTCCCCTCAAGAGGTCAACCTCTCCGGTGCTCTCTCGAGAAAACCGAGGTTCATCGCCCGCACTGGCCAGATAGCCTTCTTTGAAGTTCCCTTGCAACGCCTGACCCGTCGGACCCGGGGACCCCGAAAACCCCGGGGACCCAGTTTTTCTGGAGATCCCATTGCCGTGTTTGATAACCAGTGGATAACGGGCAATTTCTCACTCAACATAAATATCATAAAACCCCATTGGCCCATTGAAGTGTTGAACACGTTTTGATTGAAAGTGATGAACACTTTTTGGAGGCATGATCTGTGATGTATCCCGAAAGAGTAGGTCCTGCATGTGTGCGTGTGTGTGTGTGTGCGTGTGTGCGTGTGTGCGTGTGCGTGTGTGTGTGTGTGTGTGTGTGTGCGTGTGCGTGTGTGCGTGTGTGCGTGCGTGTGTGCGTGTGTGCGTGTGTGCGTGTGTGCGTGTGTGCGTGTGCGTGGTGCGTGTGTGTGCGTGTGTGCGTGTGTGCGTGTGTGTGTGTGTGTGTGTGTGTGTGTGTGTGACTATGTGTGTGTGTGTGTCGTTGAAGATGCAGCTGACTAGGTTTACATCTGTTTTTTAATGCATGTTTACATATGCATCTATCGCTATGTATGTATAATTGCATAATCTTATATGTTATCATATAATATATCATCATATAGTCTGGGTGTAAAATAATATATTCTAGCCACAGGAACAATTGAGAGCCCAAAAACAATCGCAAGATAATCGGAAGAGTACACTTGAAACCAAGGGTATATACGATTCATTCCTGTGATTGCTGCAAATGATACCTATGTTGCTTTGGCAAATAGAAGAGTAAAGAGGTGCCGGTTTTGGTATACGATTGATAATTTCACCTACTTACTTGTTCTTCCATGACACTTACCTTTATTAAGCGTCGTCCCATCAACATCCAACAACCAACGAGTGCAAAAAAACATGTTTTCCGGTTTACTGTAAATCCGTTAATTGTATACATCCCTATTTTCATGGATGTTGTGTTTTCCACCCCAAAAAACACCTGTTCACCATAATATGTTCTAAAATCCACAATCAATGATCATAGATTCTGCATAAACTCACCATGAAGCCATACGATCACCGTAAAATCTGCATGAAACTCCGCATAAAAGCAGAAAAAATCTGCATCACATCAGTATTTTCCATCCATCTTGGTGAAATCAACCGCCCCCAGTGCTGTTGCGCTCAGTAGCCCATACACCACCACGATGGGCCGTGAATTTATGCAGGAGATCAGCGGTCTTCAGAGACCACACTCCTCGGATCTCTGGGGGGTAAATCCACAGTTCCTAACTGGCTTACCCGGCCTGGGAAACATACAAAAATAACTGGTTAATAGTGGTTAATAGTGGGTTAATAGTGGCTTAATAGTGGTTAATAATGGGATAATAATGGGTATGTAAATAGATATCCTCTGGTAAACATACAAAAAAACTATTGAAAATGGCCATAGAAATAGTGGATTTACCCATTAATAGCATGGTGATTTTCCATAGTTACGTGGTGAAAAACTGGTTGGTGGTATACCTACCCCTCTGAAAAAAATGAACGTCAGATGGGATGATGACATTCCCATATGGAAAAATAAAAGCCATGTTCCAAACCACCAACCAGAAAAATATGGATACTACGTATACTTAGATTGACCCAGCAAGTGAATTTCGTAAGAGAGTTATAGAATATAGTGCATTATAGTACATTATACTATTATAGTAAGTAATATATCATGTACATTATCTGGTTGGTGGTTTCAACCCCTCTGAACAATATTAGTCAATAGGAAGGATTATCCCATATATTGTGGAAAAATAAAAAATGTTCCAAACCACCAACCAGTTATACATTTTACTACTCATATTATAGTATTATCCCACTGGTGAGTTATGGGATATATCGTTGCCCATTTACTGGGATGCATTCCCATACTCAGCAGGACTAGCAAAATCTTTGTTTTTTCCATGGGAAGATCAGGGATTTTTTAACCACTTCAGCTATTGAATCACTTACTTATGGTGTGAAAAATTGACAAACCACTATACATGCAATATATGAAATCTAACTGTACAATCTTTCCGTGCAGAGGTAAAATTACATGGTGGTTTCACCAACAGACTATTGGGGCTATTGGGGATTTAACATCAAAATACGAGAATTGGTAACACGTAATGAAATGGGACCAGCAAATATCCCTTTCGGTGGATAAGGGTAATTATAAAAAACCACCCAAATTTTATGGTGATATCATTGGAATGGGGAGTCCATGGGGATTTCAAGTGGGATAAGTTTTGGAGATATAACCATGAACATAATATGAAGTGTAGATATAATATGAACATATAACCATCAGGTCATGGATATATATATATACATATTATCATATTATATATGTATATACGTATTTATGGTTTTCTATATATATATATAATTATATATATATCCTGGTTTGATGTCATCACAGTCATCACTGGCTTTTTAATACAAATATATAATTATATAAATACACATTATATACATTATATACATTATCTGGTTGGTGGTTTCAACCCCTCTCAAAAATATGAAAGTCAGTTGGGATTATTTTTCCCAATATGATGGGGAATATAAAAGCCATGTTCCAAACCACCAACCAGTCATTCAATATCATGTACATCATTTACCTATTGAGCGTTTAATGCAAGTGACCCCACTATAATTACATTATATACATTGTATACATTATATACATTATATACATTCTATACATTCTATACATTATCTGGTTGGTGGTATACCTACCCCTCTCAAAAATGATGGAGTGAAAGTCAGTTGGGATCCAGGTTCACCAACTCAGTTATATATCCCATGAGTCATCCACTGAAGGCAACACCCAGCTGGTCACCGCCGGTCACCGCCGGTCACCGCCGCGCTGCTGCAGCTGCCATTGCCACAGCCCGCCACCGCGTTGTGTCCGTCCCAGTCCGCGGCCACCGAGGTGGCGCCTTCCGGGCAGTCCGACATGGTGCGGATGCCTCGATGTCACCGGTGAAACACTAAGGGATGGGTACTTGTAATAGGTATTCATAATGCTTCATAGTGTTCGATATGGAGAAATATATATATATATGTATTAATATTAATATGATGTATAAATCCATGGTTTTAGAATGGTTTATTGTAATAAAGACATCCTATCATATTGGGATGAAAATAAGAACTCCTTCGTGATATCGGGCTATGGATCAATGGATGTGCATCCCAGTTGGAATCCTGGTAACCTCTGGCAAGCAACTGGATTATTGATTGATGAACAACAATGATATCTTAATAGGTTGGATTTGAATGTGATTTGGATTAGAATTGGGTGATCCTTTTTTGATGTGATTTGATTCATTTATGACACAAGCATGGACGGTTTATACAATTGGGTAGATTTCCTATGCCTGTGATACAGTTTGTTTATCAAAAGCGTGTACAGATGATCACGGCAACATCTTCAGTGAAGGAATTGTTAATATCATTTCACTAAGGTGGATTTGTCTGAAAAGGAAGCATTTACACCAGTTTATGGTGACGAAAACATGAAGAACATGATCCTCCAAGCAATGTGGGTGAGTCTGAAGCTTTAAGGAAAAAAAACAGTTCCAAATATTCCAATGGAGATTATCATCATTTTCAGTATTAAAACTTAAAACCTGATTGAAATTGTGATTTAGTGGGTATCCCCCACTTTCAAACAAACCCATGTAACAACGTCCCGTCATGTCCCGTCCCATCTTCGCGACGCGTCGCATCCACCGAACTTCAAACTCCAGAGCTTTGAGGAGTCGTCGGCCCCACTGACCTGATCGCAAGACTGAGATCACACGTTTCTTTTTGGGGGTGATTTGTATGTACCCATAGGATCTATGTATGCTATATATGGTAACATTTACCATCAATATATATACCCCAAATGTTAGCATATATACCGTACATGGATCCTATGGGCCCGGGTACATAATTCATCATGTCGAGTCGATATGTCTTGTTTCGGCGTGGTCTGGATACGTAGAACTAGATCGAGCATTTTTAACTTCGAGCACTGGAATTTCACTCCGCTATGGAAATTTGGGAAACGAGCAGACTTTGAAACAAGCAGAAAATGATGTAGCAAATGAAGTTCTAGGATATATGTATTATTTTTGTTCAGAGTACAGAGATATATTGTAGGGCCATGTAAGGATGGAATACACGCCACTTGAAGCTCTACGGAAAGATCATCGGCGTCCAGGTCGCTCCAGGTATCATGGAAATGCAGGGTCTGCAATGATTTTGTTGGAACCTTGAGCCTTGAGCCCCAAAAAAACCATGGTGATGATAACCCCCTATACAAAGGATATCGTGGGCTATCCCCAAATCATCAACCATTGCGGGGTGTCTTGCATCCACTGCTCAACTACAGATCCCAGGCAAGGTGGAGTCAGTTTCCAGGTTTCCTAACATACCGTCGATGGTTGCGAAATCACCGGTAGAAGTTAAACATCCCAGTATGATCCCATGAAAAACAGCATTGCAATGCATTTCATAGTTCCCAATAGTTACCAACTATAATTCAAGTGGTGCATTTGTGCCATCCACAGTATCCGAAGTTGTTGCTCCCCTTTTTTGAAGGGACCAAGAATCCGCATTTCGTTTTGAACGCTTGTCTCAAGATGGGGAAATCCCCTTTTTATGATTTTTTGGTACAGGGTATCACCCATTTTGCGAAACACACACACACACACCATATGCCATATTGTCAGTTATATCAGTAATATCCCATGAAATATCCCCATCCTGTTCCCATAAAAATGAGTGGTTGGGCTGTTGCGCCCAACCAATCCTCTAAATCATCCGTCCATCTCTGGTCCCCTGGCCCAGCCATAGGTGGTTCGATTGGTACCCAAATCTGGGCACCTACCCAAATAGGGCATATATTATCGCAAACCATCGTAAACCCATATATATGCTTGCATTCTCAATGCAAAGTTGGGCTCGCACCCCCCATCTTTGGACATTTTGTATCTCCAGATCCTCCTTCCCATTCAGCCCGAACACCTGTGATTTTACAGAGACTATGAGGGGTGTCCCCCTATGCACCTACAACAGATGTGTTCTGATTCTGGGGAAATGGCGCGGAATCCCATCCGGTGATCCTTCAAGTATCAACCACAACAACAAAGCCATGTTCAAACATTAACAGAAACCACAACATGTTCATACCATAATGTCATGGTATAATGTCATGGTATATCCCATATCTATAGTCTTCCCATGATACGGTGGATGGTTGCGAAATTCTGCACCAGTTGATAGGTAGTTTATCCCAGTATCTATAGGGTTTCAACCATCCTTTTGGTGGTGCAGGATTTCGCTGGCCCATCCACAGGATTACAGTAAATCAACCTACATAATATAGTAATATACCAATAGATTCCTATTCTATTCCAATAGATGTTGAATTTCCACAGTATCTCCATAGTTTTCTGTATCTTCCACCCGATCCATCTCCGTCCTAGCTGCTGCTTCCAGGCTGTCCCAGTTTACGACCAAGGCATGCACCTTCAGGCCATAGAAAGCAGGAGGCTTCACCAACAAAGTTTGAAGTAATCACCAGATTATACCCCATATGTGTGTATATGTTGTATGTATATATATACATATATATACTATCGTGTATAATATATATATATAGAATTAGTAAAAGTGTCAAAATGGAACAATTTTTGCCCAGGTATTTGGCGTAACAATTGGATTGTACATCCAGTTATATATGGGGGAGCAAATCACTGACTACCCGCTGTCGATTTGATAGTTTGCTGTGGCATGGCCATTTGCTTTCATGTTTCGTTTTTTTTAAATATATAGAACATGATTTACCATAAATATTATATATACAATGATATATTACGTATTTATGTATGTGTATATATATATTATAATTTAATTATATATATAATTATATATATAATGATATAATTATATATATAATGATATAATTATATATATAATTATATCATTAGATATATAATTATACACTACCTATTGTCCTATTCAAAAAACGAAATTTCCAATGCAAAATGGTTCAATGGCAGGACTGGGTCCTCGCACCGCACCAGTGTGACCATCCAGCGTCTGCAGGCAACGTCCCTGGTCCCAAAAGCGAATGCCTCGCGGCACTTCGTCGGCGAAGCTACAGGTAACCCCTCCAGTTTTGCTGTATACAGCTGGTAGAAAACCAATAAACGGTAGAAAACCATATAACTTCAACAGAAGTTCCGTAACTCGATTTATAAACTTCATAATTTCAAGTCAACTTAGTTAACTTACGCGCACCGTCCTTTTTTGTGATTTCTTGATAAGGTTTGATAAGGTTTGTATAATTCGTTACGTTATTCACATAGGCCGCCTACAAAGCTGGGATGTTATTGGATGATACTGGTATGGGTCAAAAACTCTAAAAAACACTGGATGCTACGTTGCCATATGATGATTATGATGCTAAATGAAGAGGGGATCAACATCGATTTATACTTTTGAGTCTATAGCACTATTTATGAAGTGAACACATTTGAAAACGAGAAAACCAGAGTTTTGATCCATAGCAACAGAACCATCAAAACAGCCATATCCATGATTGCGGTTGGACAGTCACACTCATGATGGCGGCTGGAACATGAACAGTTGCGATTGGTTGTAATAGTTGCTTTTGCTTGATATGGAGGGATAAGGCCATAGTATGCCATAGGGGTGTGCTTTAGGGTGGAGCCAAAATTTCGATTTGGAGAAGAAACATGATGACCATTCATAATTGGACTTTTGAGGTACAGTACCAAACATCCGCCGCCCGTATTTTGATTTTTGTTGGCTAATGTTATGATGATGAAGAGTAAGCATCCACTTGCAAGCGGCTACATCCGCAGATATAGGTTTAAGTTGAATACCAATCTTACAAGAATGGCCAATATCCGGTGCATCCCATGATGGATGTGCTGCCATAGCTACATCTCTATGCTTGTTTGATTTTTTCAAACTAGTGTAACAACATATTAGGTTGGCTACATACCCAAATGTTGCAAGCCACAGGTCTCCCCAGATTGCGATTTATGAAAAATACCCCCCCCAGTTTTAACAGAAATTGACATGGCATAACATGGCCATATCCAACAGAAGAATCATCTTCCAAGCCCAATTCATTCTAGGGGCTGCATGTATTGGTATGTTGAAGGTGAAACATGTCCAAAGAACTGAGGGTGAAGAGATAACGAAACAACATTGGCAGGTTTCGTTACAAGAGGCTGTGTCTGAAAATGGTGGATATCCAAAGAAGGTGATGCTGATGATGGAGAAACTTCTAGAAAATTACTGTATTATTAACAATCTTTACCAATTTTTGACAAACTCAATTGTTACTGACTTATTGAAACGGCGTACCGGCAATTGTTGATCCTGCTTCAAAACAACTACGTATAAGAATGAATAAAAATCAAAACACATTTCCTGATGTTTGCTCGTTGTTGGTTCGCCCAACGATGTTTCAAATCGCGTTTTGTTCAGAATTGAATCCCAGCCTTTCCATTCTTCAAATCTTAATTCTTGTCAGCTTAAACCGTTTCCGACCCCCTCGATTTCTGCAGTGTGTTGGTTTGGACAAAACACATCGTGGACTTTTACCACAACAATATCAGCAAATAACATCAAGCATCATCAAAAATCATCAAACATCAAAAAAAATCAAAGAAAAACATCATCAAAAATCATTCAGTGTTCCATAGTTTTTTTCTCCTCCATCCACATGTTTTTTTGTTCCAGCGCCTCCATCCTCCGATCCGGACAGCAGCCCGCTGCGCTTCTTTTCCGGCTCCTTTTCGTCGGGCTCGGGCTCGACAAGGGGTGCCTAGCGCGGGGCAAAGCTGTTTCTCGTAGTGAAGAATCCCTACATTACAAAGAACCTGTCAACACTATAGTCACTACAATTAGCTATAATAGGTCATAGTTAATCTAAGATATGATACGATATACACGATCATATAGATGGTTATCTCATGATATCGCTATGGTATATCCCTTGCTGCATCTCAGGAAAGAGTTATAACCCACGAATTCCGCGAACCACTAATCTAAGTGGATACCAAAAAATCAGTGGTTTCAGCCGGGCATTGCAAATGTTGAATTGGATTAAGATTGGGATTTTTCAGCAGGTATCAGGTAGATGGGAATGTCAGTACATGTTCCCACAATTCTTATGGGATCTCATCTCATGGCATTTCGGCAGTTTTATCATGTTTTATCAACCCATAGAGAAATTGAGCAACCAACATGGGACGTTAAAAAGAACGAAATTTCACAAAATTGCTCAGTTGGGATACAACCAGAATGGATTAGCATGGTTTATAAAACAAGAATATGGAACAGTTGCATGGCGGACAACATAAACCATCTAAAGATATCTAAAGTTTCTGCAGTTTTGTTTTAGTAGGAACACATGAAATCAACAATTCAACAGATTTTGGAATTTCAATGTGGACCAACAACAGAGTAGTCATAAAATGATTCCATCTTCCGTGTGGGTCAACAATGTTGATCACCCAAAAATCCAATATTTTGTATGCAATGTCAACCTGTTGGGATTGACTAGTGACTGTAGGGAAATTGGATGTTCCAACAAGATCTAGTTAAATGAAAACAATGTGCTGTTCTCTTCCCAAAAACGTCAAAAACCTTCGTTTACATGATGTACCATCTGGTTATGACTAACATAGCCATGGAAAATCACCATTTTAAAATTCGGTAAACCATCTATTTCTATGGACCATCTATACCATGGCAAACTGTTAGTCATAACCAGAGGCTACCACCAAAGAAATCAACTTAAAAACTAGAAAAACAGTACATAAAACAGAATCAGTTCACTCATGCCATGGCAACATCCAAATCATCCAACATTTTTTTCGGTTTTTTTCGACTGCACCTCCAAGAAACAGAAAACGTTTGGATCGTCCCCAAAGGATCCATATATTCTATACAACAACAATACACCCCAATCTCTATCCACATGGGATATTAATTATTATAATATATATTATAATCTATTATTTGAAAATACCCCATAATATAAAATAATATATCACAATATCAGAATATCATAATATATGTCATACATAATATCTATTAGTATCCCCGTTATTTCACCATTATATCCACACCTTCACAATGTCCTCGATGTTTGACCCATTCAATTTCATTGATGTTTATGTAGATGGCATTGTTAAAATCCCAATGTGTTGTTGGCAATTTTTTGCTCAAATCCCGGCCTCTATATTGAATTGCCATACTTTGACGATTAATTAACTAGGATTTGTTCGTTTGTTAAAATTTGAGTTTGCTTTCGCCAATATATATTTTCATGGTTACAATCAATTAAAGTTCGTTCAATGAAGTCCATTTAGTCTCCATTTCTCCATATTGTATGCTGATGTGTGCTGATGTGCGCTGATGGTATGCTGTTTAAACTCCGATGACTTTCCGCATTTTTCTCGAAATGTCCCGGCCTCTGCTTCCAGGCCTTCCTCTTCCGCATTCGCGGGAGCCGCGTCTGGAGCGTCTGGAGCGTCACCAGTCTCCATGTCCTGAGCTGGGGATGGTGGGGGATATGATTTTGGAAATTGGATTCATTGGGTTTTTGGATATTTGGAAGTTTCAAATGTGTCAAAGATCGGTTTGTTGTCTTGGCACTTGGGCACGACTTGGATTCTTTTCTGGATGAATCCCCCATGGCATGCACTGCTTGTCCTCCTCTACCTCGGCTTCCCCCATCGCTTCAGCCTCGCTTCAGGACTCAATGGCGAGTCAGGAGTCCGAGATCGGTGGTTGAGCCACCCCTCTGAAAAATATGAAAGTCAGCTGGGATGATGACATTCCAATATATGGAAAAAAACCATGTTCCAAACCACCAACCGCTCATGAACTCTTATGACATACACTGGTAGGACAAAAGTTGCGCTTGTTGAGTTTCCCACAGTGAACATGTTTGGTTTCAGCTTTGTCGTACCCCGGTCGAATTTCCACCCTCCAAAAGCTTTTAATCTTATAGATTTAAAAGCGGGTGATAATTGACCGTCCCACACCTGCCACACGAAATGGACTTGGAAATGTGATCTGCGGTTGACCGAGATGGATGCTTTGTCAAGCTTTCAAGAAGCATAAACTTTGTTCCTCCTGAAGTATTCCACCATCGTAATATACCATACGGGAAATTTGATTATCAAAATCATTCTCGACCAGACTGATGATCGAGAATTAAGATTTATAAATGCTTGATATATATATATATTGAAGAAGACACGGGGACGAGCTGCCAAGGTACGCAACCAATGGACTTCATTGGTACAAATACAGATATCATCAAATACCGTATCCCGTTTCAACGTGGGAGAATCGAATTGTGGAGTACGAGTGCTACAATAAAACAAAATAGGATCATGGGGAGAGTTCAGTCATCAGTGAAGCGTGTCAAGCATAGTCAAGCCATTGTCAAACCAAAACTTGGAAGAGGTAAGGCATCATATCGATTTACCTATCATATTAATCATATTAGTCATAAGCCCAATAAAACTTATTATTATCATATCATTGGGCTTAATATTAGCCAGAACCATGAACATATGATTACCTCTCATAAAACTTTAAACCTATCATGTTCAGCTGGTACCGATTTGGGTCACCTTTCAGCTGTGACGGAGGTCAGAGGCACAAGGTGCCCCCACGGTGCCCCCCAGTTATGTCTGTCGGTGTATGAAGCCCAGTAACTCTATTTATTATGGATAACTAGTATCTATATCTTAATTACTATACTATAGACAACTATAACTAGTATCCACATGTATCTGAAAATTACTATACTATAGACAACTAGTATCTACATGTATCTACCATATAGATCCATCTAGTTCACCTAGTTATAAATGATATCAACTTAATTATCGTAACAGGGGGGACCACCAAAAGCGACGTGGCCGCAACATGTAGCAACCCTTGGCCTCAACGGTTGCTTCATGTTTCTCCTTCTTCTGTTTCTTATCTTTATCCTTTGACCTGATCAAAGTACAGGCTGGCCATCTTGGCAAGGTTTTTAGGCTAACGGCTAACTGTCCTGGAACCATACCTTGGTGGATGCAATGCTTAAATTAAATAATATATATATATATATACATATATATATACATATATATATACATATATATATATATACATATATATATATATATACATATATATATACATATATATATATATGTATATATATATATGTATGTGTATATTGTTCATTAAGATATATGAAGTAAGATCTGGTAAGAACTCCAAATATCAGTTCTACTGGCTGTCGCAGTGGCATGTCACGATATTACTATAGACATCCATAGACTATACTCCAAAAAATGTGCTTCGATCCCCCACTTTGGCGAGAAGCTTGGCTTGGCGGCTGAGTTCCCCGACTTCTTTTCCACCTTTTCAACCTTGTCCTTCGGATTCAGCTCGTGATGCGGTGATTTTGTTGGCAACTGGAAACCTGTTTTTTTGTTGAAACATGTTGAAACGCTAGATAGACATTGAACAATGATTAGTTGATATTAGTTGAATGCCCCAAGTATCGCAACCATCTCAAACGGTGGACTGCATAGGAAGTAAGTCACATGTGACACAAATTGCTCAAAACCTGTGCATTCGGTGGACTGCATTCAACACGCTTCAACCCCAACAGTACTTTGTCTTGGTTTCTTTTCGGATTCCGAAGGCGGCCCGGTGGCACCGTGATGCTCCGTGATGCTCCGTGCCCTTGTCCATCCCCATCTCCTTCTTTTCTTTTTTCACTTTCTTGTCCTTCTTCTCTTTTCCTTGTGCACCTGCGAAGGGCACAATAGACGTCAGCGCGCTGCTGGGCCTACCATCAAAAAAGTGAGCAAAAATCACCCGAGAATCATTAGTCATCCGGATCACAAACGGCAACTGGATGGCTGAATCCAATATCAAACGTGCTTTCCGTGAGTACATTTGATTACATATGTGTAAATCCTCTACTAAACCATCATTTCTTGGTGGTGTTTTAATGTGAAGGGAGGAAGGGATTACAACTGAACTGCCCAAGATTCTGCAAATCGACCAGCCTGGTTTTGGGACCTCCACCTTTTGCTTCTTGGCCGCTGGAGTAGGAGTCTCCTGAGCAACACTACGAGAAAAAGGTCCGGCCCGGCCACACAGGGGCTATGACGGTGACCAACAAAAATTGGAATTTAAGCAGGACAAATCGGGATTTATCAAGCAAACATTTGGATTTCTCAAGCCAAAATGTGGATTTAGCAAGCAAATAAAAGGGATTTATCCTCTAGCTGACTCTAGCTGGTAACCTAGAGCAATGGAAACTCACTATGTGGAACAGGAAAACAAAACAGACCTGACACGTTTCCATTGCCATGTTTGCTTACAAGAAAGGCGGGCATAGGTCAACATTTAAGATTGTGGGAAGCAGCAACATGTCATCACACCTAGAACCAACTATGACTGTATGAAATGATAGGGGAGATGAACGAGCAAAAGTGAGGATCAGTTTGTTCCAAATATATCTAGAGGCTCAACATATGACACACTAATTTAGGACTTAACAAATCGGTATTTACGTTCACCAAATCCAAATGTTGAGGCTCAGGCTGTATATTAATTATTATAAATTATTGTAATGCATTTTGTATGTAAAAACCATCCGCAGCGTACCGCTCAAATCTGTAGTTTGGAAAGTGCCAAGTGCCGAGGTGCGGTGCCAATACCATGTTTTTGTCGGTTTCTTGAGGGTTGGCACAAGTTACAAGATGGTATAATTATCTATCTGTAAAGACATGTAAATTCATATACTTCCTAGATCTACCCGCCAAGTCCCAACATGTAAGAAATTTGTGTGTACTCTGAATTGATACAATAAATACAGGATATATATCATATACGTATATATATATATATATAGATAGATCAAGGTACCCTAGGGTAAACTAACATAGATGTGTAAAATGACACAATTCTGGATGTAATTATTGACACCTATTCCACATGTTGATTTCTCACATCTATGGTTCCACCTTTGCCCCAGAGGTGCGTGCCCCTTGCGCGCCTGGTTGGCTAACTCGGCTTGCACCAGTTCGGTCAGCTCGGACTGGCCATGTTTCCGAGCGGCGTTTTCAAATTCAAGATGGGCCTGAAAATGTGGTACCCTGAGGTAAACATACAAAAACATGTGGCAAACCCATGAAAAAGACCCGTGAAAGAAACTGATCAATGTTGGGTTTTCCAGACCTATGTTAGCTTACAAGAGGGTATACCATTAAAATAGCCATTGAACACTATGATAGACTATGCAACATGGCTGTATGCAAATGTCACATTGATCAACATCAATCAACCATTCATTTTTCGCGCTAAAACATGTTTGAACTCACCCATCAAAAATCCAAATATGGAATTCACCACATGGATCCTTCCGGGCAAAAATAGAAGACCCTCTTGACATAATGGGCATGTAGATGGTGGTAATGTGGTACATGAATCTATAGATAGTGGTATATAATGGTGGTAATAGTGGTATATAATAGTGGTATAGAATAATGGACATCTATATGATATAGATGGTGGTAATGTGGTACATAATGCTCATATGCTTATGTATGGCGAATTATGCACCAACATGTTGCCCCCAGATTGCCCAAATGCAGATACACACCAACACAAATCATATGAGATAGGGATACCAATGAATTATATACAATAATGACTAATGACTTACAACCGTGGGTAAAAATATGAAATGACGTTGTATAATGTTGTATCCATTTGCCTTTCAATGATATCACCAGCCATAACCAGCCATCAACAAATAATAACATGTACCCTCTGGTAAATTAACATAGGCCCTGAACATCACCAATGTGCAGTGGTTTTACTAATCTTCCAACCCCGACTCATGGCAGGGTCGTAATGTTAACTTACTGGAGGGTAATTGCTAGTACCAAACATTATCAAAATGTGTACGGGGTCAAACTCGAGTCAAACTCCGGATACCAGAGCTCTTTCAATCACCAATTCGAGGCCACTGGAGCCCCAAAAGGGTCACTTAAACACCTCAAAAGGGTCACTTTGAAGAGCTTGGATCATTAGTTTTTTGAACATCACAATTGGTTATCCAGCTCTTGCTGGTGCGTCTCTGCTTTTAAAGGGATAAGGGAAACATCTACACAAAAACCTGTAGAAACTGCTCGTTTCCAAGCTCCCCTGCTAAAAGTCTGAACTTCTAGTGGCTATGAATGAATTACTGTACATTAAATTACCAAAAAATCATCCTCTAAAATAAGTGAGCAGTGTTCAAAACCCCTATTGGATTATTATAATCCCCAATACATTGGCTAGTAAAATCCCCAAACCAATCATCCACCAAGAGGGATTTAGAACACTGCTCAAGTAATACCCTCTGGTTATTTGACATAGCCATGGAAGCCATGGCCCATAGAAAAAGATGATTTTCGCTAGAAACCTCCATTATCCTCCATTTATATCATTTAAAATGGGGTTTTCCATATTTTTCCAT